AGGGCATAGTATCATAAAGTGAAATATAAACACAATTATAACTACTCAAGACTGCCTTAAGGAAAAGCCGGGAATGTTCCATTTCAATAACGTCGTTGGTCTCGCTCTTTAGTTTTTAGATACAAAAGCGATGTTATAATAACATTGTTAGGATGCCAAATGGCAGTATATCATTGTGACAAAGGTAAGGCTGCGATAATGGAATTACTAGATAAAGGCGGTTAGTTGAGGTTGTTAGAGGGTTAGCTTAAGGAGTAAGCTAAGGAATCACTATAAATAGTTGCAGCTGTAATAAGGAGGGTTGTTGATAATATTGTAATGTTTCTTTAGTAAATACAAGTTACTTACGGGGCGTTTGTTTGCCCTCACTAAGTTGGACTGGACTAGATTAGACTAGTTATTAGTCTAATACTGTGTTTGTTCCATGCTGGGACTAACATTAATGAGACTAAAGGGGACTAGCATGGACAAAACCCTTCACTAAGAGGTCTTAGTGAGACCCCCAATAATCATGGGACTAGCTAAGACTATCCTCTCTTTCTCGTCCTTGTCATGCTCAACGACCACTCCCGACAGACTCCTCGTCGTCTCCGGTCACCTAGATCAATCATTAACTTTTCGACTCTCTTTCAGATCCATTTCACAACCAACTTTCATATAAAATATACCAAATTGAAGCTGGGAGTGACAAGATTACGATTTTACCTGAATTGAGGCTAAAATGTGGTCGAATGTGGCCGGAAAATGGCTTGGAAGTCTCGGCCTGTTTGGGCTTCTTTAAATCCATGACAAATTCGAGCATTCAAAGCTAAGATCTTAGTCCAGGGATGGTGATGAATTTTTTGGCGGTGCTAACTTCATCCAATTTAACGAGGGTTGGCCAGAAAACATATCGGGAAACCTGCAACTCGTCAGGAAAATTGAAGCCGTGAGGTTCCGTTCGAACAACGCATAGCTAGAGAGGGAGGGAGGGAGGACAGAGAAATAGAGACTGGAATCAATAAGGAGTTTGACCAGGAATGAGAAAGAGACATGAATTGAGAGGTCTAAGAGGAAAAAAAGAGGGAGAAGGTGGGACAATGAGAGAAGAGGAAAAGAGTGGGACGGAAATGGTAGGAAAAGATAGAGAAAAAGATAAGATCATAATAAAATATTAATAATTTATATATTAAATAATATAATATTAGAATTTGTTAGTCCAATACTGCACCAAACGCTTCACTAAGTTAGTCCAGTTTAGTCTAGTCTAAGACAGTCCAGCTTAATCCTTGAAGCTAATCCAGTCCGAAGTAGTCTGGCGCAACAAACGCCCCCTTACTGTGCAACTACGAAGACGTAAAGTGGGTATCGTAACAACATCGAGTAGGAGGCCAAGGAGGAAATAAAAATGTGAAACTCAACACTCAAAGATGTCACCTCCTACATTGTTATCTAAGTTGCTGAGAAGAAGCTGTAAATTAGGAGGTTACAGTGCTGCAATGCACTCAATTTCAATCTTGGTATCCAATGGCAGCGCCGCTACCTGAAATGTTGAACGTGCTGGGGCTGGAGATGGAAAATCTGCAACACAAAACCATATAGTATAAGTCAAGTTAAATGAACAAGTAATGGTTGTCACCGCAGTGTTGCACATAATAAATTAAAAGAGTCATAGACCAGTTAAACAAAAAAGGACTGTGTGTTCAGGGAAGGAGGGGCGTTAACATAAATTGACATCCCCTTCTGAAAGAGAACAAGATCCAACCTTTCATCATGCTTCAAGCAATCTAGATTAAAAATTAAACGGAGCCAAACCAGTTTTATAAGAACTTTAACAGGTAATTTGAGCGTTAATAATGTGGCGAATGAGATTTAGTTCAAACAACCCAAAAAATTGAAGAGTTAAAGTCAACTTCATTCTATCTACCTGGAAGCCTATCAATACTTCAGTACCCTTACAGCTTACAGTTTTGGGCAGATAGAAAACCGACAGTGTGATTAAGGATTCAATCTCTAATATCAAATTTATGCAGTACCTGTAAGAATATGAGCACAAGTGTAGGTGTATTTTTGGCCATATGTTTGATTTTAAATTGGTTTAGAAAAGTCTTACTGGAAGACGTTTGGATGTTCTAGTTTATATATGATTGAAACTGGGAATGGATTCCTACAAGGATTCTAATAGGAGAATAAGGGATTGTTTGTCAATATAAATAGTGGTAACTACTGTCACAGAAAAAATGGCTCATTATTGGACTTAGACCTATCTTAAGTCGAACATATTCTTCTTTTGATCAAGATCAGATTGTTTCTTACAATACCTCTATAGAACTTACATCTAGCATATAGATTTCAGTGGCCTTCTTGAATTCTTTCAAATCAGCCAACCTGCATGGACTTAACAAACATCTAATTTCACCTCCAAAACTAAAGTCTCCAATCAAGATTGTACAAAGATTGTACAACAAAAACAAAAATCCGTACAGAATAGTCGTTTTAAACCAGAGAGAAATAGTTTGGCCCCACTTGCTTCCAGTATTTCCCCCATATTTTTAGAACGTGCAATAGTTTCGTAAGCTTAAATCTGTCAAAACCAATCAGACAAACAATGCTATAAACCATCCTCTTTTGCAAAGATGACGACACAGAAAAAAACAGTAATTAGGGTATCAAATTTAACTTCTCCTTGATGATGGTTTGAGAGATTAGAAATATTTTACTTAGTAATCTCTTTAAGACTGGGATTAGTGTCATCGTTACAGTACGTATTGACATTTCTGCAGATATACAAAACAGGATTCTCAACAATTTAAGACTCCACAACAACCAAGTGTTAAACAGTATACTCATTTCCTCCCACTGTCACTGACTTCTAAATCAAGAGGAAGTTAATTGGTTTTAAGGTTGTACTTTGACAATTATGCAGTTAAAAGTCAAGAATATTTCAACAACCAAATGCATAAAACTGTCAGCATAAAAATTTATTTACATATGATTATCTCAAATCCAATAAACATAGAACTATATCTAGTACATGAGAATATCAGGAAAGATTTACAAGCCACAGACTGCAAGCCTACTCAGTCCAATCTTCAACATTGATAGACTTCCCAGCCCGTATTTTAATCAGAAAAACTAGCATGGAGGCCTTACAAAATAGGTCTCATATATATATAGCCTAAAGGAAGTTAACTTGGGATGATGGGTCAAAACTTGAACCTAAAGCAAACTCATCTTTTAGCCTTTCTTGATCCAGTTCCAGTGCAAAATTGCATGTTTCCAGATTGGAAAGTTCAGATTCTTTCTTCTACTCTAAGTTGATGTCACAACTGAATATATTTGGCAATGAGGAACCAACAAAGAATTCCGTGGTACATTCGTATTTGTATCCATATTAGTATCATGACAATAAAGGACCAAGAGAAGAAGGAACGCATTTACCAAGACTGTGAAGAAAAGTCACCACAAAATCATTGAAGGAAAATAACATATGTGAACCGTAGGAATTATAACAACTCTTCTGCTAAGTATTGCAAACTCAAAACCCATCCTAACCAACCCAACAAATTGAAATTCTCAAACATATATGTCACCTCCAAGCTCTTTCTCTGAATGGGCCGACACCCACAACCCCGCCGCGCACCCCCCCCCCCCCCCCCCCCCCCCAAACACAAACAGGGAAAATCTGAAAAAAAAGCGGACCAAAATAGAATCACAGCAGGTGAAAACAACAGATTTTTACCCCCAAATACACAACTCATCCAATTATTCTAACAACTTAAACAGAGGCAGGACAATTGAAAAGAAGATGAAGTCTCATGTGGACCCTAACAAATGGAAGAACACATAAAATCGTAAAGCATGGAAAAATCAGTATTGATTATCCCTCCACATTGATAACCAGAAAAATTCAAGAGAAAGAATCAGAATCACACGTTCAGCTAAAGCATCGCAGTAAAGCCATTCAGAATACTTCCTGTGCAGCAAGTAGCAGGTCCTATGAACGTCAGCAGAAACAGTCAGTAATGGCATTGTTGACAAGACGAATCTGCATTACATATCTCAACATTGAGTCTGGATATCATACCCTGCAATTTCACGTCCAAAATAACCTGCTTATACTGAAAGCTCTGGAGCACCTACGCAAGAGATTACAAAGTAACAATCAGTAGAGGACCCAGCGAACTATATTTGTTAAGATTTTTGCATTATTAACACATTTATATTTACAGTAGAGAAATTTTCTCGTATCCAATTATAAGCATAGTGATTCTTCAATGTTGCAACTAGGATGGCTCTTAATTTAACCAGCAAATTTACGCAGCAAATAATTTGATATGGTATCATAGAACATTACGATCGATTTAGACAAAGAAGAGGCATTAGATTGTGATATCTGAAATAATTGACACTGTAAGATTCAGTACTTCCTAGATGAGTGTACAGGAGGAGATTGGATGCTCTGCTTATATTTTCCATGCTAATGTTATGATCAGGTCCAAACTATGTTGTATCTAATATAAAATGTTGTTTCTGTTATAACATCGTCAGGATCTTGAAGCCTACAAAATGGGTAGAGAAGAAATGGTATCAGCGCTTCACCATTGAATGGCATACATAATGACTTTATTAACAATTTTGAGCACATTCTTTATTGCTCAAGAGATGTGAAATACCCGAATATCATGTATTTATTTGCGACTTCATTTACTTACTAGAGTGGTACAAATGTGGAACTATCAGTAAGACAACTGGTTTATGAATTTCCTAAATTTCGGGAAGAAGAAGAGTTCTATATGTTACAGATACAGGCTCATTTTTTTCATATACATACTTTACATTAAATGGAAGAGGGATTTAGGCTAAGCCAAACAATGGGCCGGCATAATAAATTAGCATCAAACTCACTATTCATGAGTCGAACTTACTTGTATTTCATAAAATCTCCATGGCAATCATCTTATTTTGTAGGACTAGGATGTGATTGGACAATTGTAGAATTCAAAGCCTTCTGCTAAACATAAACGAACTTGATAATCTATTGAACAGGGATCTTGTATTTCTACAAAGAAGCTATATATGAGCTTTCGTTATACGTTAAAGGTGACAACTTCAAGGCATGCTTCCCTGCTAAGAAAACCTTCCGCTGGTCGATCTTATTCTTTGAGAATCATTTTTGTGTTCACTCAAATCTAGTCTATCTTTGGTTAAGCACCATTCTCAAGGGTGTCATCAACGGTGTACCTCTGAGTCTTAACTAATTTTAAATCAACCAAACCGAAAAAGAATACAACAGGCACAGGGGACAGTTTTATAGGATTAGTAGCGTGCCGACAGAGGTAATAATACTGCACTGCCGAGCAAATGCATTGAACAATGGCAAGAACTAATCCAAATCGATTACACCCTCCAATTGTACTTTAAAACCACCAAACAAATCCAAATCTGTAACAGAAATACATACAAATCTATATGGAATTATAGAATCCAATAAAATGTTTAATAATTAGTCACTTTATAAAATGTCATTTAAAATATTCTGAAATTCAAATCGATTACACCCTCCAATTGTACTTTAAAACCACCAAACAAACATAGAAATAGAGAGCCACGGGGGACAGTCTCATGGGATTACCAGTTTGCCGATGGTGGAAATAATATTGCTCTGCCGAGCAAACACATTGAATTACAGCAAGACCCAATCCAAAGATGTCAGGCAACGAACGATAAACCATGCTATTTGAAGATGCATCTTTACCCTTCTCCTTCATTTGACCGTGAATGAGCTCCCAGATGCAAGTAACCACACCGACAATAGCCAACAACAAACTGATTAGTGCATAAAGAGGCTTGCGTGGGGAGGAAACCTGATCAAAACCGGCCGACAATATTTCTAATCCGATGCTATTGAGAATAAAGACGCACCCTGATGGAGTAACCTACAAGGAAGTTATAATAATTTCAAATGAACCAGCTCACAAGAGATTTTTGAAAAAATGCTGGTTCAACAAGTATGATCAGTTAAATCATTACTCTTGGCCTGCTATGTGCTTGGACGAAAACAGTGTTTTCACCGTGCAGATCACCAACGCTAATTGCAACATCCTCGCTGGGATTTGAACCAACACATGCCTGCAGCTATGAACTTTATGAGCCCTATTACTATCTATAAGCTTACTATTACAAAAGAACAAAAATCACACGTATCTCAGAAGAAATAGTGAAGAAAAACAAAGGAGATGGTAAAAGCGAGTCGCTGGGGTTGAATTCATCAGAGCCCTGAGAAAATCAATTCAACTCAAATTTTAAAAATATTGCAAGCCAATATGTCAAAGTTATAATTTTTGGTTTAATTATGGTCTTGTGTTTAAATATCTTTCCTTACCACATTATCTTGCTCCTGATAGTCACCATCAGCATGAGGACCAGTGCAATGTAAAGACGACCTACTTGGAATGAAAACATCAGAGCCCTGAAAACGAAAATAAGTTTCTAGTTACAAACTTGCAATACAATACGAGAAGTGTAGATGGTTTAATAATGGTTATCAGTTTTTACTACTACCACTGCCATATTTCCCAGCTTATCATTGTCAGTGCAAGCACGGGGACTCACGCTGAGTGGACGCGGTTCACTGGAGTTGGTACCATCACACACCCGAAATTGTATATGTTAAATGGTGAGGTGAAATTTAGAAGATGTGTTCACCATGATTAGGATTAATAAACTTACCACCTGGTGTGATGCATAGTTGTTGTTGTTGTCATCATGGATACCTTCCGTAAGCAAAGATGAACTGCTGGGGTTCTCATAGGTGTACAAGCGATCAAATCCTGAAAAATCAAAACGAAATAATGAATAAAAATCATTCAAAAATGGAGTTTGACGATCTACCTAAGCCCATAATAAACAGACCACTTTTGATAACAATTAAACGCCTTTGGTAAGGGAATTCTGCACCAAAGTAAATTATCAGCCATCTGAAATTCTCTTTTTGCGAGTACAAATGCTAAACGGATCAGCATCAATCCCACACTAATTCGCACCTTTTCTTCCATTCGGCACTATCTTGTGGCATGCTTTTTCCCTTTGTCTACCCAATGCTCTTAGAAGGAAAGTTAAAGTCATACAGCAGACCAAAAACGCAATCACCAATTACGTACTTCGCACTCTGATTTTTTATAACATTCTATTTATATATCACTTGTCCATTATGAATAATTAAACTTTTACGTACAAAAAAATGATCATTCTGAGGGATTATCTGGTCATCAATCTTTTACTGTGCCCTCTTCTTTAATCATTAGTTTTCCTAAAATTACGTAGATGATCAGTATAATCTTTTGTCTTACTTAACCTAACACTTAAGATTCTAAACTAGTGTAGTCCTCCCTAACTGTAACTTAACACTTCGGCTTCACCAATTCATCTCTTAGGCCATCTCCAACCGAAGGTGGGCCAAAAGACTCGTTTTAACCATCTGACCTTCTAAGAAATTAATATTTTAATGAACAGTGCAAGATCATATTTCTTACTATCTCCAACCGAGGGATCAGAGGGCCAAAGGCCAAACATAGTCTTGTGAAAAGAAATCATCTCCAACCTAGGGCCAAAGGGTCATAGAGGCAAACATAATTTATTATTTTAATTGAATTACTATAGTTACTTAAATTAAATTACCTCAATAATTTTATGTTATGAATTGTCAATAATTTTCATGTTGTAAAATATTTTTTTTATGTTGTTTAATGTTATTTAATGTTGTTTAATATTGTTTAGTATTGTTTCATGTTATTTAATGTTGTTTAATGTTGGCCCCTTGAACCTTTTTTGTCCAGTGGAGCCCACGAGCCATTTGGCTTGGCCTTTGGTCAAAGATGATTTTCGAACTATTTTCAACCCTTTGGACCCTTTAGATCATCTCCAATGGTTGGGCTAAAAGCTAAATTTTTTAGATTGGAAAATTTATCTTTTAGCCCAGAAACAGCTTTTCTACTCCAATCGTTCTAACTTAAAATTTTAGTCTGGGATTATTAAATAATGAACTTAGGCTTTTTTTTTTTGTTAAATTGAATTTAAAAAAAATAAATAAATATGTAGACTATCGTAAATTAATTTTATGAACATTTTAATCTAAAAAAATTTAAATTTTGATAAATATTGGATGAAGTTCACTCCGATTTCTGGGCTAAATTTTGAGGGGAATTTGACATTAGTTTAGCATTTAGCATTTAGCCCAAAATTTCCCCTTGGGTTGGAGTGGGTTTGGGGGGAAATTTTAGATGGTAATTTGATTTTTAGCCCACCATTAGAGTTGGTTTTAGTTGGAGATAACCTTATATACTAGTCTAAGCCCACACACCGTGTGTGTGAAGCAGTTTTTTTGCTTTTCGGGAAAATGTGTGGGAGGGAGAGAGAAGATTACATTAGTACTCGTGATTTTATTATGTAATATCAGACTGAATTGTCTTTTTGTGTTTTTTTTTTTTGAAAGACTAAATTGTATTTTCATTGTCTTTTAATTGAAAAAAGAATTTTGTTAACATGTAGTTTAAATTAATACTCGTCCTTAACCAAGGCAAAAGTACAAAGGCACCGATCACCACCCAGGCCGTCATACACACCCGACTTGTATCCACAAACTAGCTAGTTAGGCAGGAACTCCTTTCTCTCCTAAAGGCAAAAAAATACAAAAAAGGATCATGTTTTCTCTAACTCAATGAACACCATATAAACCTCTCCCCTCCTTTTCTCCATATATAGCATTTGGTTAATCTAACGGAAATTGCCAGTATCCTGCACAACGACCTTGCAGGCATGGGTCTGAACAGTTCAGATCAGACTACAAATAATAAGCTCCGCCGTGTTCAATCAAAGGAATAACCTGCACCTTTTTAGTTAGGCCCCAAAGATTCAAGAACCAACAAAACGAAAAACAAATCCATTTTTACGCTAATGAAAGAGGAAGCTGTTTATCCAATAATGTTGAGCTTTTCCAACAGAACAAAAGGCTCAGAGAAACCTGAATAGGGGGGAAAAGAATGGCAGCGCTGCGTCGCTCGCGGAGATTGGGATAGCTGAAAGTGATGATACAGTGACTTGCTGCGTGGTATGGGTTGTTGAAGACACATTTTGCTTGCTTCACGCACCAACTACTCAACTCAACTGAAACATAAGCAGGGTTCTTATTAAGTAAACAGTATCAGAGATCTTTTCGTTAAAATTCCCTTTAAAAAAAGAGAAAAGAGCAAGAGATAGAGATACCGGAAGGAAAAGAAGAGAGCAAGCAGAGGGAGCTGATGAAAGAAAGAAGTCTATGGACCTCCTTCACTTCTTCACTTCCAGGCAGAAGTGAAATAAATAAGAAATCTTCTTAGTTCATACGATAAATTAGATGTTGTTAAAGAGCCCTATATATAGTGGTTTGGTGAAAGCTTTCCAAAAAAACTAAAGTTTCCAAAAAAACGAAAGGAATTTTTTTTTTCAAAAACTAAAAGGAAGAAAGAGCCAGGAAACTGCGGTGAAAGAGAGGAGTCCCACGTCGGTGGTTCCCAAATAACGTGTTGGAGAAATAACTGGGATCACCTCCGGATTCCAGCCTGCAGAGCAATCTAAGCAAAACATCTCGTTCTTTCATTTTTATCCTGTTTTGTTTTGCACGAGAATTTTCAGTCATTTAAACTTGTTTCTGGGCACAAGATCAAAAATGGACGGATGGGATCTTTCGCTAAGTTTGCTCTGTGGGATCCTAAGGTGATCCCAGTCCAAATAAAAGGAAGAAAGAGCCAGGAAACTGCGGGTTGTAAAGGGAAAGAGAGGAATCCCGCGTGGGTGGGTCGCACGGCACAGTGCTCAACAAAAATAAAGTAATTCAAATACTAGAGTATTGGACCGAACACCGACGGAAAAAAATGGAGGTTTCGATGCTCATAGAGCCACCAGTCCCCAATGCCTACCCCTGAGAAAACCGTGTTGCCGTCTCGAGCACATTTCTCCCTTCTTAGTTTGGAATATCCTCTCCAACTACCTACTTCCATTCTTTTTTAGTTTTCCACTCTCTATTTTGTCTCCTTCTGTAAAAAGATTATAAAAAAAATTAATATAAGATATCAACGTGCTGTTTAAGTGAGGGAAAAGAATCCTGCTCTTCTTAGCTTCTCTGCTGCTCACAAGCCCAAGTTGCATCTCCAATGCTCTGCCAAAATCTCGAACTCAAAGCGGGGGAACCTCGATCGACAGCCCTGTTGACAAGAGAGACAACCAGAGAAGGTAGTTGAGCTCTTAATCAGCCAACCATGGAGCAAGAATATCCCCGTTTAAGGCAAACATCTCAATTTGTAGGACTAGCATCTTATCGGACAATTGTAGGGTTTATTTCAATACTCGCAACAATTAATACTGGTAAACATTTAAGAACTTGTGAACAATGTTCCGCTTCTATACAAGCATTATATGATCACTTGAATCCAGTCGTTGCTTATGTACCATTCTGAAGGGTGGCATAAACTTAATCCAGCAATTTCAGGGAATGGACAAAAAATCTTGTTACTTGGAGGTGGATAGTAAAAACACCATAGCATTCCCCTACTCCTCAATACAACTCCTTCCTTTTTACCATTGTGGACAAGCTTCCATATGTAGACAAGTACAGCCACGATTGACAACAGCAGGCCAATTAGTGCATAGTGAGGCATTGGAGCATCCCCAATAACAGGCTCTATATAGGGCTGGAAAAGTGATGGATATATTCCATTTTAGAGCTTCGAAGAATCTTTGGGGTTTATAAAAGAATCTCTCTCAATGAGAGACTATATCTTTCGGGCTTTATATGAGGTTATATTTATTTATTTATGTAGTAATTTGATCAAGTGATGCCTCTTTTTTTTCTTTTTTTTTTTTTGTTAGCTTTTCTTAAGTTGATTTTTTGACGTGCTATCTTATTATTATTATTTTTTTATGAACCCTTCAATCAAAAAAGTTTTAATTGTGACAAAGTTAAATTTCATCACTTATGAATCGTTTGTTGGATTACATTCCCTTATATCAATCTCATCCCTTGAAATAAGCAAACTCCCACTTCACCCTCTGAAATCATTTGATTTTTACGTATAACACAACAATTTACCTAGCACCAATTGGAAAATTGGTATCATACAATTTTGAAAAACAATTATTTGAAAATTTCACTCATCAATGGCCCATGAACGTTAAATTAGTTTAAAATTTTAATTCTTATGAAATTTGAAATTATTAATTTCAAATAATTCTTATGAATATTAAATCAATTTGAAATTTTAATTCCTATGAAATTTAAAATTATTTGAAAATTTCACTCATCAATGGCCCTTTTTTTTTTTTTTTTTTTTTACAATTTTTCGTTATTTTTATTTTTTTTTATTTTATTTTTTTTTTTTTTTTCAGATGGAGAACCTTCCCGTCGGATGGATAAAAACCAGCTGACAGAAATTCTAGACCAATACCCTTACCTCGCGAGTTAACCTCATTATTCACATCTTGGGAACCAAGGTTGAATGCAACAAAACCACTGGGACTTGAATCATAGAGACATTGCAAATATGAGTGGTAATTAAGGCTGGAAATTTTTTTCCAAAAATCTCAAACCAAACAAAAAAGATCTTGATCCCATACCAAAAAATTTCAAATTGTTATGAGGTAAAAAGCTTAAATTTCAATTGATATGAAATTGGGTAACAAAATTTTAGACTATAGCCCAAAAATCTCAAATCATATATACTAAAACTTGATCTATAGTGTTTTGACGGATTTGCCCTTCAATTATTATCTATTTTCAGCCTTTTCCCTCCACGTCACAGTGAAATTTACTAATATGCCCCTCTTGTACACGTGTTGCCCAACGTGTAAGGGAAGAAAGTAGGAAAAACAGGGGCTCTTTCATTTGCTTCCACAAAAGAATTTCTCGAGCTCTCCCCCTCCCTACTTTCTCCACGAAAACAACACCTCCAGCCCTTCTCCTCACACCGTGACAACTTCCTTGCCGATTCAAGCTACTCAACCATGCATCAACGCCTCCTCAACACGTTGTCTAACTTGCTTTCCGTCTCTAACCTGTTCAACTTCCATTGAGCTTGAGTAAGCAGTCCACGCTTGCCTTCTTTTACGTCCAAGGATAATTGGTATCAAATATTTGCATTTTCATTGTTTGAAGTAGGAGACACCATTTTTTTTCTGAAAATTAATGGCTCTGATTTCAATCATCTTGCAGAAGATTGAGAAACATAGGGTTGGAGGACTTACATAAAGGGTCATAACATACCACAAACCTAGCAATAACCTCCTATTTTAATTTTTGGTAACTAATGCTCTTATTATTGTAATAAGTATGTGTTAGATTCTTATTCATTGTAAGCCTATAGATGCTTATCAAAGACAAAAGATACAAGTTTGGAGAACATTATTATATTATTATTCTCTACTCTCTACTATTTCCTCATTAGTATTATAACATGCATTACATTTTCTCCGAAATCTCAGTTGGGCTATAACCCACCCAACCCAGCCAAGGTTGGATCCTACACTAACAAATGATGCATTTTTTGAACACTTCACAAATATCAATTGAACGGCGACAAACGCCACTAAAACTGTACCGTGGTTGCAACAAAGAATCTCTCCTCACTTGCACCAACAATCTCATTCGACAATAAAAAAAAAAATTAGGGGAAAACAAATGGAAATGAAACATGAGACGTCTCTAACTCCGATTGAAGCAAATGGAGGAAAGTCAAGCTTCTATGTTCCTCAAACTAGAGGAATCGCCATCCTCCTAAAACGACGCGCCATTGTAGCGGCTTTTCAACGCTGGTTTCGTCTTCCCCTCCCTGATTTCTCCATTGGCGACACGACTTGGCTCCCTGATTTCTCCTCTAGAAACAGCATCAATCCAACTTCCGTGCTATCAATTTGGCTCTTTCAAATTTCAATTGTCTTCTTGTTTCTTTGATTATTGTCCGGGTTAAAAATCTGAGAAAGAGCCCTACCCATTCATCTAACA